TCATCCAGCAGGATAGGTGACACCAGAACTATAATGTGACACAGGCTGAACAAGGTAACTGCAGGGCTGGCTGAAAACTAATGGCAATGGAACCAGGGATGATGTGCTAAGAGCCCATGTTCTTATCAAGGTCAGAGCCAAGAGCCAGAAAGCCTGCGCAGCTCAGTTGGCAGGCAGGCACAGACTGGTTAGGCACTCCACAGTGAGCTCACTGGGTCCTGCTACCTAAAGCTGTGAATGCAGAAGGCACCACAGTCTCTCTCAGTTTCCCTTTGAAAATGTGTCCACACATGCACACACACTCATATAGGGCGGATGGCTCCCTGCAGCTCAGCACGGGCTGTGCAATGGACTGTCATCACGACACAATCTGGAGGGGTGGTGTGGCTCAACTGACCTCACCCTCTCAGCAATGTGGTGGTTCCCCAGCATGGGGACTGGGACACCTGCTGCCCCAGTGAGAGACTCACACAGGGAGGATGCCGACAGATGGCTCCTGTCCCGAAACTACAGATGACACAGAAATAGTCATGGAGGCCCCAGAAGGGCCATCCTGTACAGCCAGGTCTCCACTTAGAAACTCTCAGGTTGAGTGAAGCCTTCAAAATCCACAAGGCATCAACTAGGTGAAAGAAAATTCAGAAGCCTTTTAGAAAAAGCGCAGGAATAAAAGCCAGGGGTGTGAGCAGCGTGTGGCACCTCTGGACAGGAGGACATGGGGAGCTGGCTGGCAAGGGTGTGGGAGTGCAGACAACCCATCCCTGAGGATGCAGGCCTCAAGAGATTCCAGCCTGCAGATGTTTTGGGTATCAGTCACTCATTCCTGGCCCCGAGAGGGGAGGAATTTGGAAAGCAGAGTGGGGGTATGCCCTCATGTTAGTCACACATTCACTCCCAACTTCATGGTCAATATCTTTTTTTTGAGTCAAAGTCTCACTCCATTGCCTAGGCTGGAGTGCAGTGGCATGCTCAAGGACACCCCAGCATCGACCTGCTGGGCTCCAGGGATCCTTCTGCTTCAGCCTTCCATGTAGCTGGAACCTACCACACCTGGCTAATTTTTGATTTACTGTAGAGATGAGGTCTTGCCAAGTTGCCTGGGCTGGTCTTGAACCTGTGGGCTTAGGGAATCCTCTCACCTTGGCCTCCCAAAGTGCTGGGATTACAGGCCGAGCCACCAAGCCTGGCCTTTTTTTTTTTTTTTTTTTTAAAGAAAAGAAAAAGTGTTCACAGCCCACTAACAAACATGTCTGAGTTACTGTGATTTTGAGGCCATATCAGTAGAGTTTGGCAATGAGACTCTGAGAGTCCTGCCAACAGCATGGGATAACAAGGATGGGATCCCTGCAAGAAGGGTCCTTCCAGTTCCAGGATCTTACTAGAAGACTGAGAATAACTAAATTATGAGAAGATGTGGTCTCCTGACTCTGAATTCTAACATTTTAAAAGACTTTTTACTGCAAGCTGAAATCAGTATTTAAATTTCTCAAGTAGCATCTTCAGATGAAATTTTTCTCAGAACAGACATATGTTTCTGAAAAAAAGAAGGCAAAAAATAATTCAGAAAGAGAAAAGTCCCAACGACAGTGTCAACAAATCTTTGTAAATACTAATTTTAAGTTTTAAAGGCCCACCAGACTGAGCTCTAATTCGACAAAGTCTGAGCGCCCCCTGATGGTTAATCAGGGGTCCTACAGCAAGTACCATTTTTGGCTGTCTGGGGTCAACTTCCTCCCTTTAAGGAATCAAGCAAGTGATTGTTCTTACCTGCTTTGTGCAGAAAAATCAAGGTCTGTGGGCTTATGCTAAGAAATATGGAGTACAAGGGAAGCTACTCGGCATAATTTAAGTCAAATGCAGATTGCCAGGCCAAAGAGAGCGGGGAGCTCGTGTGTGAGAGCCTACAGAACTTCAGGAAAATCCAGCTGTATTTCACTGGGCTGCTGACTCCTCTCGACCTTGATGCTGTCCCAGGGAAATGGCAGAGACCGGCAGGGCTGTCGCCGCCACGGCCCCACCAGCGCGTCGACCGCAGGCCGGCGCCCTCCGCTGGCCACTCCCGCGGCTGCAGGGCAGGCACAGATGCCACCCATGCGCCGGGCTGGGGTGCGGAGCTGGTGACTTCTGCTACCTTTCCCCCAGGCAATCATGCGGCTGTGCACACCCCTTTCGTCTGGTCAAAGATGATCTCCATCCACCCAGCAAGCTGAAGTTACAAGGCAGGAACCAGCAAGCTGAAGCTGCAAGGCAGGTTGTTGAAATCTACTCTGCATGGAATCAATGGCCCCGGGAGAGTGAAACAGCTTCCTGGGGAAGGTAAAGCGAGACAATGTTTGCAGAGGAGAGGAAGCTCTGGCATGCACCCCGGAACAAAAGGGAACAAGTGGTCTTTACTCCGAGAGCGGCTTCCTATTAGGACTCACTCCTTCGTGCATTATGCCTTTCATCCCCACTCAACCACAAAATGATTTTGCTGAGGCAAATACAATGGTAGAAAAAGATTTACACTGAAAGAATCTTTAATAATAAACTGTTGCCGATCTGCCTACTTGCCCGTGATTTATAATACAATAAACATCGGATTCTATTACCGCTCATGCACTGAAGCTGCTGCTCTGAAAAACGGAATATGAAAGCCCCCCAGCCCCACCACTATCACAATGAAGTGAGCATGTATAAATGTGCTAAGAGTATCTCTTTGCATCTTTTATAGCTTGTGTGTATTAATCTGTAACGCTTATTAAGAAAGTCATTGCTATGCAAAGCAGCACCCAATCCCTTTCTCTGGCTTTTCAACAGGAGTGCACTGTTTAGCCAATAGGACGGACCCTCTGGCCCTCATTCTGCATTCATCACAGGCAACATTTGCACAATGTATCTCTCAAAGGCTGCTGAAAAGAAGGCCTTAATACTCATGTAAACAACTGCAAACCAATTACTTAATGAATCAGGCCCACACATAATGAGGTGCAGACAAAGAGCTATAAATGCATTTTTGCGCCCAAGCCGCTGCTTTAAAGTAAAATCCCTCAGCTGTAGTTTGGGCTTAACTAGCACATCATAATTATTGTCTCTAGGACATCAGAGGAAGCCATTTTTTTTTTTAGGTCCAGCGGGGTCTTTTTTTTGAGGTTGCTCATCAGCTCACTGACAAAATAGAGCAAAGAAGAATTTTTAAAAGTGCTACAGCAGCACTGCACTGTTATGTTTATTCTCAAGTACTGGGTTTTGAGACCACTTGTAAAAGCAATAAAGCACAAGGAGTGACTGCAGTAAGTGGGATCCTTAAATGTAAGCCTCTAAGAAATTTCAGCGAATCCAGATACAAACAGCAAAACCTGAGCTCTCCAAAGCCCAGGGTGGCATATTAACAACACCAAACCCAGCACAAGAACCAAACCGTGACAAACAGCACACCAGACCCATGCACTTGATGCCCAAACCTTTCATCGTGAGATTATTATCAAGTGTCCAGAACCGAGAGTTCCTTGAAGACCTTTTTGTGTTTTTTTAAGGGGGTGACAAGTTACTTGCAATTTATTAGAAAATAAATTTCATGCAGAAGCAACGGTTAACAAAGGTCTCATGCCCAGTCTGAAGGGGGAAAAGTGTGACTTCAGTTCAGTGAAATATAGACAAGATACAAAATTATCGGGCTGAGAAATGTTTTACAAAATCTAATTGCTTTCAATGTATTTAAAAATTGCCCCAAGAACCTATATAAAGAAAATTTAAGAAGAATTGGGTTTTTGAGTGCCTCTAAAATATAATGGAGACAAACACTTTTAACAATCTTTAACAACTCAAGGGATGCACTATTAAGCCAAACCCTGAACACTATCTATAGAATACCTTGTCTTTTAAAATTTCTTTTCGAAGATCTAGAATTTATAATCTAATCATAGATATGTAATACTTTAACATTTTTCTTGTCCCATTGCTTTCAAAAGTATGGATGAAAATCCAGGTACTGAAGATAATGATTTCTGATAATTAAATGAGTATTTCCCTAAAATAGAACTTGTCAAGTTTCTAATGGCAAGAATTTTTGAAAATCAATCTCATTTTAATACAGTCCAGGTCCTAAAGATATTGTATTGTTTTTACAAATTATAAATGAAGATACTACATTTCTAATCAAATCATTTTATGTTATGGGACATTATAGGTTACATTAGAAATGTAAAGTTCCTGGTTTAAAATTATATCAGGGTAAGCAATTAATTCAAATGTAATGCAATCATCTAAAGAACACCTTTTTAATGACCAATGCTATTACAAAAAGAAACCAGCTATGCTGTCTTAAAAGATATTTAGCCTGAAGCAAAAAGGTAATGTATTTCATCAGACATTGCTTATATTCTCATCTATAAATTCCTCCTAAGCAACTTGAAGCCACTGCCTGATTAGCATTTTCTGTCGATGACAAATCAGCACACAACTCACTTATTGCTCAAAAAACTTACAAGAAGTGCTACAGTTTAACAGATGTGAAAAGATCCATTTTGTTCTGGATGGAAAATAAGAAAATATCAGAAAAGGAAAGAGTAATCTAAGCTACATACTTGATTAAAGAAGAGACATATAAACCATGGATATCCAGCCAGTGCCAGTTTATATAGTAGCCATCTCAGCAAGAAGAAACATACCACTTTCTTTCTCGCAAGGCCTGGTGTTTTCTCTGCCCTTTCCTGACAACCTCCATTCTGTGGTCTCTAAGTAGTCCTACTGCGAGCAGCTGTAGACGCTAATTTGTGGTTCACTGAGGTGTCAATTGAGTCTTAAACCAAGGAAACAACAGCTGCAAAACAATACTTGGCTCTGGTGCAAATATTTTCAAAGGTATATGAAAGTTTCAACTGTTATTTTAGATAAACAAAAACCCAAACCATAACCCTCCAAGTCACACAACAAAATCATACACAGCCAGAGTTTAATTCATTGCTTAGTGACATTTCTCATCTTGTTGCCGCTATTCAGAAAGGTTTTCACGACTTTACCTTGACAAAGGACTTCCTTCACTAGATGAAGAACTCCCTCCCGAGGCGATTCTGTTAGTTGTCTTTGTCTTGAATGTACTGCTGCCAAGATTCAAACCTGTGGTGAGCACAGACAGACAGACAGACAGGCAGACAGGGTGAGTGTCGGCTGCCACACGGCAACACACAACATGCAGGAAGACGGCTCCCAGGAATCTGGGGGGAAACAAGCACTGAACAAGCACTGGCAGAGGAAGGTGCTGAAGCCACAGAGGCAAGGGGGCCACGGAGGCCAAAATACAGTGCTGCTGGTAGAACACTGAATAGGAGCGGGGGTTTCCTGTGATGCTTAAGCAGAGGCCACACAAAATAAAAAATACACCTCCCAAAGAGCTCAATTTTAAGCGACCAGGATGCACATGGAAGCACACAGGTCTCTACGGTGGCTCAAAGCCCTGGACGATTCCCACTGTCATGGCACAGCAACAGCAAACCAGGCCTCAGAGATAACTGACTAGATGACAGCTGCCCACCCACCCATCTGGAAGTCCGACTGCCAAATCCTCTATTCTCCACCTCACAGAGGAGACTGAGTCTCCATTGCAAACCACCAAGGCCACTCCAATCAGCCTGGGAAGGCTGGGGAGGAGAAGGCACAGTCTTCCACTATCCCTGGACTCCCCCACATGGCTCCCGGTCTGCAGGGGCAGCCCTGACCTCCACCTCCCAGGAGGGTGTAGCCTTGGATATTTCTGCTCAGGCCTGCTTCTTAACTGGCAGTCACTCAAGATCACAGCTAGAGCAGGCATGGGCATCTGTCCACAGACATTTGCTGAGTTTCTAACCTGCATGTCACCTCTGCAGCAACACCATTCTTTTAATGTGTCCACATGCTTAACAGGACAAGGTCTTTTCAGACCTTAGTAAAAATGAAGACTCAAGGTTTAAGTGCTTTTCTTGGCGACAGGTCCAGAGACAGAGACCTAAAATACTGACAGAGAAAGTAGCTGAAACATGACCGGCTTCCTCACTAGTTACATTTAGGGGTGGTTCCTTAAATTCAGAAGGCACAGCCTCACTGTGCCCTGTGACAACTCTGCAAGGCTTCTTGTGCCTCCCTGCCTGCCCACTGTCTGCTTCTCTTTGGAGCTCAGAGGAGTGCAAAGATCAGAGTGAGAGCAGGGGTGAAAAGGCAATGCACAGCCTGAGTCCCAGAGGCAGTATCTAATGATGCAAACACCAGCACAAGCACTTCCACTGACTCTAATGCTGGAAACCTGCAATCTTGCAAAGTGCACAGTGTGCTCTTGAGAATGTGGGGTGAAGGAATGAAGCTGGGGGTGCTTGCCTATTTAACCTACAGAGCATCACTTCATTACAAATGAATTAGTAAAGTGTGTTAATTATTAGCATATTAATAGTACCATACTTTTGGATACACATACAGGGAATTATAACTTATGTGAGATTTACTCATCTTTTGCACCTGTCCAATGAACTATCCAAAATACACTCGAGAGAAACAGATTTGTAGAGTTATTCCACACTGTGTGCGTCTGCTAACTGGCTGTAACGCTCCAAGCAAGGTATCACTTTTATGGGCCTCATTCGTAAAATGAGGGTCTGGAAAAATACCTTCTCATAGCTCTCTGGATTCTAATTCTATGACTCAAATGAGAAGAAGGCATGAAAAGTAAACAGCTGAGAGTTTGCAAGTGAAGACGACCTCCATCAGGACAGAGGCCCTATTCCATATCTTGACAAATGACAATGCCTTATGTTTGCAGAGTTCAAGTCACCACCACTGCCCACCACAATGGCCGGCTCTCCCCAGGAGCTTTTTGTTTCCAGACACTGGACTGGGCACTTAGCCTGCAGTGGCTCACTGATTCCTCAAAGCAAACAAAATAACTGGATTTTATAACGGTGGACTCTACCATTAAGATTATCCAGGAAATAGCTCTCCAAATGCAGACAACTAAGTTTGATGCACCATAAGCGTCTCCCCCGAAAATATCTGAAGAAGACATCTTGGAGACAACTGGGAAATCTGAACACGGACTGGGAAGTATATGACATTAAGAAATCACTGTTCATTTGGGTAGGTGTTAGTATGGCATGATGGCTATGTAAAAATAAGAAAATATTTACTGTTTCTTTTTGTATTCATTTACTTTTGCAAATGGGACTGAGGTGATTTATACTTTAAAAAATGGTGTAAGCCGGGCTCAGTGGCTCAGCCTGTAATCTCGCGCCTTTGGGAGGCTGAGGTGAGTGGATTGCCTAAGCCCGCGGGTTCGAGACCTGCCTGGGCAGCGAGACCTCATCTCTACAATAAATCAAAAAAATCAGCCGGGCGTGGTAGCGCATGCCTGTAATTCCCGCTACTTGGAAGGCTGAGGCAGAAGGACTGCCGGAGCCCTGCAGGTCGAGGCTGCGGTGGCTGGGAGCGGCCACTGCACTCCAGTCTGGGCGACAGAGTGAGATTCCAACTCAAAAAAACAAAAAAAAAATGGTGTAACAGGAAAACCATGGAAAACAATACATGTACAAGTATTAAAAAATTACAATTAAAACAAAATCCTAAATTGAAGGACTACACGTCAACTTAAAATTGAGCTTTCCTGGGATTTATAGTCTTTTCATTAAAATAACTCAAAATTCCCAACATTCTGTTGAGGGAAGGTCGCCCAGACAACACCACTTGCTGAGTGATTAGGAGACTGGAGATGCAGGGAAGAGAAGGAACGTGGCCTCTCCCTGAGGTGGTTAGTGACGAGTCACCATCATGACCTCCGAACAGAATCCAGGGCCTGGGAGGACTGCCACCACACTGGGCAGCACATACCCAGGAGGAGCAAAGGGCTCTTCTACATTCGTTCACTGAGGATGAGAAAGCACTCGCTCACTCTGACCCGGTGACAGTGCACTACAAAGTAAACTCCAGAACCTTTAGAGAATAACTACCCTTCCCTGAACATAGCCCTGCTGCAGCTCTGGGCCTGGGCTCTGGCTTGAGTGATGAATCGCCCTTACTCACCTGACAACAGTGACACAGACGCCTCGATCTTGTGAAATCTGTCTTCAGTTTGATCTGTATTATCCTGAAGGGTAGACTTCTTCAGCAACTGGTAGGCTTTTGTTTCTATAGATTAAAAGAAGCACAAAAATACTGACTTTTCTGCAGCCCAGAGAGAAGTTCCTTAAATTCTTCCTGTGAGATCAATACTTTTCAAAAGCAAGCAAATTCTTTTTTTGAATTGTCACTTTTTAGAAATTCTGAAAACAAGAAAACAGTTTAGCTGAATCCAGATTTCAAGACTCAAAAACAAGTTGTATGAGTTTATTTGAGGTTGAATTCCAGTTACAGTTTGAGTGGGTCTCTGGATAGGTTCAACACCATGGGATATAGTGTTTCTTCCCTCTGAGCCTTGCAGGAGTAGCTATGGGAATGACCAGAAGAGACTGCTCGACCTCTGAGGTGGGCAGGTCTCAGAGCCCTCCCTGCCCCAGCCCTCAGGCTGGCCACTCGTGTGCCAGGCTCTGGGAGAAGGGTTGGGGCAGGAGTGTAAGTTAAGAGTCCTACAGCTGAGGAAATCTAGCCACGGCATGCCATGGGAAGGCAGCAAAGTCAGGTAACCTGTGATCAGCAGCAGCCTGGACCCGGCTCATGTACACAGGGCTCCCTTGGCCAAAGAACCCAAGTGACACAACTGTCCCCATTATGTTAAGTCTGAAGGACTCCTGGATGAAAGGGGAGAGGGAGGATTAGCACTTCTGCAAAGACAGCAAAACAGCATTCATGTCCACGCCTTCCACATGGTCACGAAAGGACTCCCCCTGTCAGCCCCAGGGTCTGGCAGTCACTGCATTCCAGCTTTGCCTGCTCTACTTGAGAACTTAACCAGAGTCTCTGATTACCGGATTAAAACTAGCATCAGATTGAAGAATAAAAAACATAACTAATCTTGCTCAACTGGAAATCAGAGATAAAAATGGGTATTTAAAATGAGCATCATATTCATCCTGCTGCTGAGTGCCCTGCCCACCTAGGAGGTCATGCTGTCTCTTCTGGTCATTCTCACAGCTGCTTTTACAAGGCCAGGAGGAAAGAGGCACTGTTCTACTATGATGTTATATTAAGGGCTATATAATTAAAAATATGTACAGATCAGAGATTCTTCAGTCTAAAGACAACAAATTCTAAGGCAGCTCTATTTAACACTGCTGGACTGTGACATCAGTTTGGGATGTTGAAACTAGTATTTTGAAAAATCTAATAAGAAAACACCAGACATTGTGCACACAGAAGGGAAAGCACTACTTTGTGTGATGTGTGTGTATGGCCTGCACAGAAAGTGTTCCTGGTGAGGGCGGTCCCACTGTCCAGGGTGGCTCCAGCAGGAAGGCGTCATGACATGCTCCAGCTAATCCTTACATCCATACTACTGCAGATGTGTAAGATAATTTGGGGAGAGGGGAGATATTAATAAAATCAAAGACAATGATTTCTAAAGGTAAAGAATCACTGTAAAAGAGGTGAGAATGCCCTGTTCTATCTTATGAAAAATCAACCCAAAAGTGTTTCAGCTTTTAGGATACAAGTCCAGGTCTTAATGACAATATGCTATTTCTCATTCAATTACACTTATTTGGTCAAGGAGAAAGTAGCAAAGATGAACATTTAAAAGGCAAAAAGCAGTAGCTTGCTGATACATAGAGGATCCTGGCTGCTGGAAGCTGGAGGGTGTCTGCTGTCTTAAGAGAATTGCTGACTCCAGCCAGATGACTCTCCTGATCCTCAGAAACCAGGAAGACACATGCTCCTGACTTTCAGGAGAGGGTTTTTTTGCCAGAAATATCAAGCTGGTAGTCCTGGGGTAGTTTAAGATTTGGGAGTATGTAAGCATTCTGCCCAAATCCAAGACAGAACTGATATTATTACTGCTCTGAGTCTAACAAGGGAGGAGATATCAATGTGAAGCCAATTTGCTTTCAGCAACAAGGGACTGTTTTGAAGCTCTGGAAAGATGGGCCTTTTCTTTTTTTTTTGAGTTGGAGTCTCACTCTGTCACCCAGACTGGAATGCAGTGGCCGCTCCTGGCCACCACAGCCTCGACCTTCTGGGCTCCGGCGATCCTTCCGCCTCAGCCTTTCAAGTAACCGGAATTACAGGCATGTGCTACCACGCCCAGCTGATTTTTTAAAAAATTTATTGTAGAGATGAGGTCTCGCTGCCCAGGCGGGTCTCGAACCCGCGGGCTCAGGCAATCCACTCACCTCAGCCTCCCAAAGGCGCGGGATTATAGGCTGAGCCACCGAGCCCGGCTAAGATGGGCCTTTTCTATGTCCATACACCTTCCATTCTGGTCTCCTTTCTGTCCTTGAAGCACATAGGGTCTCCCTCAGAGCTGCCTGAGTCTGCTTCTGATTACCTCACTTTCCTGCCTCGGTCTTTTCCCAGTCACACCGCCACAGATGTTGCATCCTTCGCCGTCCACGGCCCTTCTCCATGCAGAAGCCCTGAAGCCCACCTGCATACATCCATCTGCGATGCAGCTACCCTGACCTGAGCAGTTAACGAAGGGCCTGAGGACTGCCGGGCACACCACCTGCCCCAAGCCCCTGAGTGCGTCCTCTGACACTTTAAGGCAAAGTGAAGTGGGAAAGGCCTTAGAAGCGAGAGCGTCTGCTTAGAGGAACTGACTCCAAGGCAGGATCAGAACATGAAGCAGCTGGCACTGCCACCCCATGAAAACAGGCCGCCTGGCGGTGGGACCAGATGTGGTAGAACTGGAGTTGTCCTCCTGTGGAGCATGTCACACCTGTGTTCTGGTCAGAATTGCTGCATGAAGCATCATGTGACAGGCCGGGAGATGATCCACACAGGAAAAACAGCACTCAGGTTTGGTTGAAAAATTAGGAGTGGTTAAAGGCCTGCGAAGAAACTAGGTTGGAGAGGGAAGAGGGTTCAAGGACACAGACACTGCAAACAGACTATATGGGCAGGGACTGTGAGTGTAAAAAAGTGACTCTGGCCAGGCAAGGGGCGGAGGGTGGGCCAGCCTGGAGCAGGCTGGGCAGCACATGCCCTGCCCACAGGGACAGCTGTCCCAGGGACAGCCAACTGCTGCCAGGTGGAAAGTGGGCCTGGCCTTGCCAGACTTTGGCCTTTTCTGTATTCTTTTTAAAAATAAAACACTGCATAGGCAAACAGAACATATTTGTCTCTTCAAAACTAGATGGTTGTGAACAATTTTTTTGTGTTCACTGAAAGTGGTACAAGAACACTCAGGGAAGAACTGCAGCCAAAGGATGTAAGGCAGCTGTTAGGAAAAGCTTCTTCGTAAAAGGGCCAAGACCCTGATCGTGTGGCCTGGGGACTCCGTGGTTATGTGACGGTTTTTAAGAAGCTGTCTGTGCCAGACGTCCAGGTTTCAGATTTGGAGGCCAGAGTATACTTTTCGCTAGGAATTCTCAAACAATTCAGACATCCTCCTCAAACAGCCTAGATCTGACTGGGGTGCCTATTTCATGAAGCAAAAGAAAAAAGCTATAGCTGTGAAGTTTATGGCAACTCAGGTCCAGACTTTTCTGAAAGGAAAAAAGTCAAGAATCAAGAGGCCAAAAGCCGCACCGTGTTAATGTCCTGTAAATTCATAGTTATTAAATCAATGAATGAACGAAAAAATGAGCAAAAGTAACACATCTAGATGTTCAAGTTAGCCTGCTATAAATCGGGTGGGTTAAAGTTGATATATTTCCAAGGGGAAAGAATTTAGTTTTCTCAACTACAAGCAAACCATATGTCTGAATATTTGAGGATCAGGTACTGCCTAAGGCTTCACTGTCTAACCTGACTCAAAACTCCAGATAAATACTTTCTCCTGTGAAAAAAGTTCAACTCTCAGAAAGCACCGAGTAATGAAAATGATTAAAGAACAAACATTTCTAAAGAATACAATCATTTTCAGTTGGAATATTCTGGTACACACAGAAACAAATACACAAGCATGCTCAAGCTTTCGCTGCTGAATCTCTCATTCAGGCATCTATTATATACTCAGGTCTGCATCAAAATTTAGTTTAAAAAGTAGAAAAGACTGCAGTTTAAAACATAAAACAAGGTAAGGAGTCCCGTCCCTCCTGGAGGTTAAAATCTATCCTATTAACTCCAGACTGATGACATCATGAGAGAAATGCACCCTCCCTGGGTTGTTCCATGTGCTGCCTAAACCCAGGCATCTATCTCTTCCAAAGTGTTGAAGGATCACTAAGCCTGTTTTTTTTTCTTTTTGATATGCATTTTGTGTCTAGAAAATAGAAACAGCCAGAGAAAGAAAGTGAAAATACGCTGAATAAAGGGAGATAGGAGAGGGATGATGTGGAGAGGAGAAAGAAAAAGCCTCAACTTCTTATGTTTTATTCTCTTTTATATGCAAATGTACACCTGCTAAAATACTTCTAAATCTACAAACAAGAAGAAAAAGAAAATATCTGATGAACAAGTGCTTTTAACAACCCATTACAAGAGCCAGATAAATGTGTAGCTCGCCAGCCTCTGAGGGTGTCTGGAGGCGGGAATCTGCCCATTGCTTTTGCTGAAATCCATAATGGAAAAAGAAGAGTTGCGCCTGGAAAAGGGATAACAAAGGGAGATGCAAACCATACTACCACTACAGCTAGCGGCAACCTTGAACTGACTAAGCACTGGGCACCTTCCAGGAAGGAAGGACACTTGCTATTGTGCAGACAGTTTAAAATTAAATTGGAAAATGCTTCCTGTCTGCTGAGGCCCCCAGTGCTGCTACTTTTCATGTATTTCCACCCCCATGTGGTTTCTTCACCCACTGCCCTAGATGTGTTGCTGACACTACAAACCTCGTCACTTTTAGAAAATAAAATAAAAGGTGTGAGATATATTTCTTCAATTATTCCAAAAGATAAATAGTACCACCGAAAATTCAGAAACAATTTGCCCATAATTGTTGAAATAAAAACAAGAAACTAGGGTAGTGTGCTTTTGCAATTATGACAATACAGAAAAAGCATCTATGTTTAGAAGCTTTTGAAAGAAGGCAGTGAGTCTGTAAAATGTGTGACATACAGGTGTGGATCCATAACCAGAACTGCTTTTCATGTCCA